TGCTTTAATCACTGAGCCATGCCTTCAGCCCTTTTAGTATTTATATAATTTTTTAAAATTTTGGGACACGTTCTCACTAAATTGCTAAGGAAGGCTTTGAACTTGCAATCCTCCTACTTTAGCCTCCTGAGCCACTAGAATTAACAAGAGTGTGCCACCATGCCTGGCCATCCCCTTTATAATTTTTTCTTTTGAGACAGGATCTTGCTAAGTTGCCATCCTCCTCTTACCTCAGTCTTCAAGTGGCCAGGCCAAATGAGTCTTGATTCTAGCTAACAGTATGTTTTCTGAATTTTATTATCTGTTCAGGGTAGGTTGCCAAGATCATTGATCTGTTTTTATGTTTTAATTTTTGATGTAACCTATAAATAAACAGGTTTCTGAATATCACTTCCTCTTTTTCTTTTTTTAACCTGGTATTAGACTGCAAGTTAATTATTTGCTAATAAGCTTAGCAAGGTTCTCTCCCTCTTCAAAATAGAGAACAATTAGATTTAGGTCTGATTTAATTTTTGCTAATGTAGGTAAGAGTCCATAGTGATGACTTTTAAGGGGAAATGCCATTCTTTTAAATATTGTTTAGTTGTTGATGGACCTTTATTTTACTTATTTGTATGTGGTACTGAGAATCGAACCCAGTGCCTCATGCATGATAGGCAAGCACCCTACCACTGAGCCACAACCCCAGACTGGAAATGCCATCCTTGATAAGGAAATTTTGACTAGGAAATTTTGACTATTTAGAATGTATCTAGATGTATCTCCTTCATCTAGATATGAATGCTGGTAGTTTTAAAGCATTCAAGTAGTAGCAGAGGGAGTATTGGCATCAGGCAATTGATTTAATATACTTAGGTTAAAAATGTTTTCACCTAATTATATGAAAAAAGATAAAGGTTAAACATATTGCTAGTTAATTTTCTGGTGATTTCTGAAACTTTTATGGAAAAATTGTCAAATCAACTATCCCTTTTTTAAAATCTTGTTTTTATAGTCAAGTAAAATAAATAATCAAATTTTTATTTAAACTTGAAACAAGTATTTAGCTGAGTGAAGTGGCATGTACCAGTCATCCCAAACTTATTTAGGATTGTTTGAGCCCAGGAGTTTAGGTCTCCCCTTCCCCCATAAAAGGGAGTGGGGGGACAAAATTTTACATTTATCGTTGGTGGTAAAAGGTCATACTAGTAATAGCGTATGCCAATTTATAAGTAGAATTCCTCAGAATTGTAGGAGTATTCTTAATGGATTCCTTCCTTTGACCCACATAAGTTTATTTGTAAACTTGGCAAATCCTAACTAATTTTCAGTCTTTTTTTTTATTATTGGTTGTTCAAAACATTACAAAGCTCTTGACATATCATATTTCATACATTAGATTCAAGTGGGTTATGAACTCCCATTTTTACCCCAAATACAGATTGCAGAATCACATCGGTTACACATCCACATTTTTACATAATGCCATATTAGTGACTGTTGAAAATTAGCAATTTTTAGCTTTCATGTATTTTTAGAATAAAGTTTACTAGGGAATAATTAGTTATTCGGGAGTAAATAATATGTGGATGGGATCAAATCAACACAAAAGAGGCACAGGTATTTTATGGTTTTATTATTAGAACTAATATTCGATTTGCTATATTTCATAATATTTGTCTCCTTATTCGTAACTTAAATCAGCCAGTAATTTTTTATAGAAATTAAAGACTCTAGGCTATGATTTTATTAAATAACAAATAGCTCAGGACATCTTTTATTGCTCCTTCGTTGTTTTTGATGGCTTTTGAGTTTACAAATGCATTACTGGTATTTATTTTCATGAACTAACTTACATTTTCTCAGTTCAAAATAGAACATAAATTTGTATTACCTTAGTGAGAACCTCTTAGTTAATGGGAATGTTAATTTTGCTATTAATGACTGAGTGTCTTGGTAACTCAGAAAAATTACTGGTTTACAGACATACAGCACATCATACACCAAACCACCCCTCCTTTTAACTACCCCTCAACCCTGCCTTGTTGGAAAGACCAGAACTGACCAAAGACCAGAGCAGAATTAATCACAAAGAGTTCATTGTTTTGTGCATAAAGTGATAGAAAGGAAATTGAGCTTAGTTAATTATGTTGTGAATCAACTCTTTGCAAATTCATTTATGGATCCGTGTTCTTAGACTTTATCTGTCCTTTTTGCAAATTTTCATTGCCTCTGAGGGTCTCTATTCCAAGACCTCGAGAGTGACTCAGTAATTAATGATGAAGAGTCTAAAATGGCCATTTTTTTTTTTTTTTTAGCAAATAAAGACTATCACCTCAGAGATCCAACCTACTAAAACTCCTGGGAGACTTGAACTTCTGGATGAATCCTAGATCTTTCCAAAAGATCATGACTCTTTTGTTCCTGATGGGGTCCATAATTATGGGATATGAAAGGATTCCTCTTGACTTTTTGACAACAGCTTATTGAGATTACTCAATTTCAGTATATTCATGAATTGAATAGTCATTACCACAATTTTAGTACATTGTCAGTTCATCAAGAAGAATCCTTATAGTTTTTGGTTATCACACCCTATCTCCCTTCATCCTCAGTTTTAAGCAACCACTAATCTACTTTATAGCTCTCTATATAGCTCTATAGATTTGCCTATTCTGGACATTTCATATAAAAGGAATCTTACCCGGCATAATCTTCTATGATTAGTTAACATAATGTTCTCCCATTAAAATGAACTATGTAAATGTTCATCCATGTTGTAACTTGGATCATTATTTTATTTCTTTAGATTACTAAATTATAATTCTTTTTAAAAAATATTTACTTTTTAGTTTTAGATGGACACAATATATTTATTTTTTATTTTTATGTGGTGCTGAGGTTTGAATCTAGTGCCTCATGCATGCTAGGGGGGAGCACTCTACCACTGAGCCACAACCCCAGCCCCTCTGCCCCTTTTTTTGGTACTAGGGATTGAACCCAAGGCTACCACAGAGGCACACCCACAGCAAACTAAATTATAATTCTTTGTATGGATTTGTTCATTCATCATTTGATGAAATTCATGTTGTTGCCACTTTTTGGCAGTTATGATTTTGTACTGTATCTTCTCATTTCTCTTGTTTGTAGGTCTAGGAGTAGATTTGCTGGGTCCTGAGATAATTCTTTAATCTTTTTTTTCCCCTTTGGTGCTGGAGATTGAAGTCAGGTCCTTGTGCATGCTAAGCTAATGTACTAGCACTGAACTACATCCCCAACTCTTAGTTTAGTCTTTTGAGGTACTGCCTAACTGGTTTCCAAAGTGTCTGCACCATTTTCCATTCTTATCCACAATTTATGAGGATTGCAGTTCCTTTACATTTTTTCTACCACATATATATGTTTTTTATTGTAGCCATGTGCCTTGTCATTGAGATTTGGGTTTTCTTGCCTTTGAGTGTGTTGATGATTCTTATCTGCCTCCTGTAATTTGCTTAACTAAATGATCTTCAGCAACATAAGGCTGTAGTCCTTATCTAAAATTGAAATGCAATATTTGTGCCCTATGGTATATCAGAATCAAGATTCTTATTAGAGAATAAAGTAGCATGAAGAGAAGAACTATAGGAAAGATAACTTATTAATATTAGTTTATTATTTATAGCAATCCATCTAATGTTACATTCAGATGTACAAAAATTAATACTTTTAAAAAATATAATACTTTTAAAATCACCCCTTAAAAAGTTATACCAAGAGAAAAACATGTTGTGTAAGCAGTCTTTTTTTTTTTTTTTCCCATACTGGGGATTGAATCCAGGGGGCTTAACCACTGAGCCACATCCCCAACCCTTTTTTATATTTTATTTAGAGACAGGGTCTCACTTAGTTGCTTAGGGCCTTGCTAAGTTGCTGAGGCTGGCTTTGAAACTCTCAACCCACCTGCCTCAGCCTCTCAAGCTACTGGGATTATAGTTGTGTGCCACCACACTTGGCATAATCAGTCTTCTGAATTCTTTTTTATACTTTTTTAAAATTTAATTTTTAAAAATTGTGATGTTCTGATACATGTATACATTACATAATGATTAAATAAGGTTAAACGTATCTCCTCAAACATTCATCATTTTTTATGGTGTAAATCTTCAAAATCTTTTCCAGCTTTTTGAAATATACATTACATTATCATTGTCTACAGTTACCTTGTGCATTAGCACAACAGAACTCCTTATTCCTATCTAACTATAACTGTAACCATTGATGATTAACCTCTCCCTATTCTTCCTTCCCCAGCTTCTGGTGACCAATATTCTTCTCTCAACTTCTGTGAGAGAATCTTTTTTTGGATTCCACATATGAGTGAGATCATGAAGAACTTGTCTTTCTGTCTGGTTTATTCCACTTAACATAATCTCCTGTTTCATCTGTGTTGTCACAGTGATGGAATTTCATTTTTTATGGCTGAATAATATTCAATGGTGCAAATATAACACATTTTCTTTAAGTATGCATTAGTTGATGGACACCTAGGTTGTTTCTGTTTCTTGGTTATCATGAATAGTGCTGCAGTAAACATAATAGTACAGATGTCTCTTTAACAAACCAATTTTGTTTCCTTTGGATTTATACCCAGTAGTGGAATTGCTGAATCATATGGTCCTGTTTTGAATTCTAATCTTTTTTTTTCTACTTTTATTATGTAAGTTTTGAAGAAAGTATTTGATTATAACCAAATCATACAGTAAGATTAGTTTTTTTGTTAATTCAACTTTTCCAAGTAGGCCAATGTTCTGTGATAGCTTCTGCATTTCTAAAAATTGGGGCCACAAGCAGAAGTATCACAGAAAAATGTTTTATAGGAACAGTAAAATGACTCGTGATGGCCATATTGAATCCTGATAAAGAAAAGACAATTCTGCCGTATTATAAGGGATGTTCTTAATGGAATTCAAGAACTCTTCAAATAAGTAATGTGATAAAACCTGTTAAAAGTCTTTAAAATATCTTATTGTTTCTTCTAGGCCTACCTTAAAGTTTCCCATGTCTCAATGGACTCCTGAATATAACAAGCTTTATACCTTAAAAGTGGATATGAAGAGTGAGATTCCTTCTGATGCACCAAAGACACAGGAGAGTCTGAAAGGGGTCCTTCTACATCCAGAGCCCATTGGGGCAGCCAAAAGTTTTCCTGCAGAAGTTGAGATGATTAATAGTAAAGTGGGGAATGAATTCTCTCACTTGTGTGATGATTCGCAAAAACAAGAGAAAGACAGGAATGGTAACCAGCAAGAACAAGAAAAAAGTGTTGTTGTGAGAAAAAAACGCAAAAGCCAGCAGGCTGGCCCTTCGTATATGCAGAATTGTGTGAAAGAGAATCAGGGAATATTAGGATTGAGGCAACACCTAGAAACACCAAGTGATGAAGATAATGATTCCTCCTTCAGTGATTGTCTTTCTTCTCCTTCATCTAGTCTGCATTTTGGAGACTCTGATACTGTGACTTCGGATGAGGATAAAGAAGTCTCTGTAAGACATTCCCAGACCATTTTGAGTGCTAAAAGTAGAAGTCATAGTGCACGTTCCCAAAAGTGGCCTCGAACTGAGACAGAATCTGTGTCGGGATTGTTAATGAAAAGACCTTGTTTTCATAGCAGTTCATTAAGGAGACTTCCATGCAGAAAGAGATTTGTAAAAAATAATTCCTCACAGAGGACACAGAAACAAAAAGAGAGGATATTAATGCAGAGGAAAAAACGAGAAGTGTTAGCCCGAAGAAAATACGCATTACTACCCAGTTCTAGTAGTTCCAGTGAGAATGACCTCAGCAGTGAATCCTCTTCCAGCTCTTCAACTGAAGGAGAGGAGGATTTGTTTGTTTCTGCTAGTGAAAACCACCAAAACAATCCAGCTGCTCCCTCAGGTAAGAATGTTTTGGTAAAACATGAAAAGTATTGCATTGTATTTATACTTATTTTCTTGGTTTTATGACTTAGGGTTATGACTTACAGCTTTTATCATCTTTAAAGAGAATATAAAGTTCTATTGACTTATTTTTAAAACCACATAAATTACCAACTATAATATTATCTAATTCCAAGAAAAAAATAAAAATATTTCTATGACAAAAATAAAATCAGAATTGGTTGCTTTTTTCTTTTTAGATTAATTACTTATACCATTTTGGATAGAATTAGATTATATTTTAGGTGAGTTGTTGATTTATGGTACTAATATTTTTTCCCTGTAGTACTTTAGTATGTTTAACTTATGTGAATATTTTTCCAGATACTGTATGATGGATTTTTTTCCTCATTTAATCATGCAACAACTTTAGTCACTAAAAAAGACTGCTTAATAGTTCTTTTAAGTACATTGTTTTTATTATCCATTGTCACTTTGTCATGTCAAGCCGAAAAATACTTTGAAGTTTTTGGTAGCTTATTTAAATATTAGGACTTATAAACTTTTGATTATGACAGTGCTCAGCAAAGCAGATGATGGAGGAATAGCACTTGCATATGTGCTTTCATGCTCTCTTGCATACAGAATAGATATTATATTTAAGTGCACTAAGAATGCGCAGATAATTCTGAAGTATAAGTATTTTTCATGTATACAGACCATCCCAATAGAATGCATCATTTCTATACTTGTAATTTAAAGAGTTGTATTGGAATGAATATTAAAGAGCTAAGTCTTCACTGAGGGAACTAGATTAATTTCTTTTGAATTTAGGGAATAAGGGAATTGGGTCATAGGGAGAGCTTTTCAAAGGACTAGGAATACGTTTTCTAAGACTGATGCAAAGCTGTCCCAGTTTTTGCCTGATGTTCTGTTTGTCAGAGTCAAAGCCTATTAGTCTACTATCCATATGTGCCATTTTCCTTTTCTTGTCTCTCTCTCCTTCCATATGAGTATCTTCCTTTTTCATTTTTGTTTTTCTATTTTTTCCAGAACCCTAAAATCTGTAACCTTGTTCTTATTTGGCCATATTTAGTTCATTTTTTAAAAAAACTATTTGAATATTTGTTTTTAAGAAGACTTCATTGAGATCACTTGTAACTGGGAGAAATGTATAGCAATTGCTTCTTGAGGTCTCTTGAGAAAGAGGGAGGTGAAAAAAAGGACTTGTCTTGCTTAGTTGTCACATTTTTTTCATATGGTCAGATCCGAAGACTCTAGTGTTAGGGGAGGGAGCGTTAGAGCCCAATTTCTTGAAATTATTGAGGCAGAGTGGTTGATAATTGGAATAGAAGTTTCTAAGGAGTTGATATTTGTAGAGGAGTGAGAATATAGTAAATGAAGGTCTGTTTCTGGGAAGGAAAGGGTTTTTATATTCTTAAGTATTCAAGTTTAGTGCAAATTAATGCATTTTAAAATCTTGTTTAATACTTATTATAGCATTTAAAAATCATGTTTCTTGGTATAATTAAAGTATTTCAATTACATTATTTTTATTTATGTTTTGGTTTTTGGGAATTGAACTCGGAGGCATTTAACTACTGAGCTACATCCAGGCCCCCCCCCCTTTTTTTTTGGTTGTGCTGGGGATTGAACCAAGGGTCTTGTGCTTGCTAAGCAAGCACTCTACCAATTGAGCTATATCCTCAACACCCCCCCCACCCCCCACCCCCAAACCCTTTTTGATTTTTATTTTTAAGAGTCTCACTAAGTTGCTGAGGCTGGGCTTAAACTTGTGATGCTCCTGCCTCAGCCTTCCAAGCTGCTGGGATTATAGGTGTGCACCACTGTGCCAGGCTCAACTACATTATTTTTTAGACATTACCCTTAAATGTTTATTTCCGGAAACATAAATCTAAAAAGTTTAAATGAAGTACCCTTGATGTTTTCTGATTTCTAGACAAGTATTTTGTTTTGAAAGCTTTTTTTTTTTAAATAAAGATTTAATAATAGCATTCACATGGTGTGGAATTTTAAAGTACTGAGAAAATAAGATGTAAAACTTATCTCCTTTTCAAAGGGTCCAGTCTTTATTATCCAGAAGTAATCTGTGTTGGCAGTTTCTCATTTCCCTCAGAAAACGTGGAAACATATGCAAGGATAAGTGAATATTGTAGGTTTTTCAGCATGTGAAATTATCCATACAAAGGGAACTATGCAACCATTAAAAGCTATTCACAAAATGACACATACTATGTAATTCTATTATGTGGCATCTAATGTAGTCATATTCTCTGAAACAGTAGAATGATGATGGCGCTATGGGGGGACGGGTGGGCATAATGGGTATAGCTTCAGATTGGCATGATGAAAAGGTACTAGAGATGTTTCATAATATTTCAAATATACTTAATGTTGCTAAACTTAGAAATGGTTAAAATTGTTAAAAAATAAAAGTTGTGTTTTTTCTTACTGGATTTTTCACAAATCTGAAAGGATTATCAATACCTGATGATTTTTTAATAAAACATCCTCTGTTAGCTGATAATACAAATGTCTTGATAAGAATGTTCCCACATAAGAATATTAAGAGTAGAAAACAAATACACCCACTTTATTTAAAGTGTGTATTTCTGATTTGCAAGCACAAACTCTGTGTCATGTACAATATCCTGAATGTTAAGCCCTATTAAGAAACTGAAGCTTCTTCAATAATTCTAAAGACTTGCCCAGGCACACAGTAAACAATATTTGTAATTCAGACCTAATTCCAATTCAGAGTTCATATTTTTTACATATATTAAGTACAGTACTGTAACTACTCAACATGTAGGTGCTAGTTAACTATCAAAAGTATCTTTTTGCAGCCAGTTGCTTTTGTTTCTGCTCCTTGCATTTGTAGTCATGCTTAAAATTTCTGAAGTCATAGCAGAAATTGTCTCTTCTTTTGAGTAACTATCCAAAATAAATTACTATACAATTCTCCTTTCATCATGAATTTCATAGTCTTCAGGTAAAAATGAAAATTTCTGCCTTGTAATTAGTTAACAAATGGATGTTTTTAAAATAGTTTGTTTGTTTGTTTTCAGGAAGTATTGATGAAGATGTTGTGGTGATAGAAGCTTCCTTCACTCCCCAGGTCACTGCCAATGAAGAAATTAATGTTACCTCAACTGACAGTGAAGTGGAGATTGTAACAGTTGGAGAAAGCTATAGGTGAGATTTTAATTCCTAGTTGTATATTTGAAGTTATCAAAATAATTACTTAAACTTGATTAATAAACTTTTTAAAATAAAAATAAACTATTTAAACTTGTGCTACAGATAATTTTTTTTTTAGAGACCTAAAATAAACTATTTAAACTTGTGCTACAGATAATTTTTTTCTTAGAGACCTAATTTAAGCATGCTTATACTAGATCAGTCGTTTTCAAACCAGGCTGTGTTTGACTCACCTGGGAAGATTATAAAATAAAGATATATTGTTGCCTACACCTTGTCCTAGACCAACAGAGCTAGAATTTGGTGCTCAGAATTTTTTAAAGTAAGCAGTGAGAGCCTAAGAGTCATTGCTGTAGGTAACCAATAATTTTACTTAATGCTTTATAAAATTTGATTTATTTTATGAAAAAGAAAAGTAGTGAATTCCTTTGAAATTTAAATGCGAATAATACACAAATATTGGGGATGGGTTAATTTTTTTTTTTAAACTTTTGTGGTATTGGGGATTGATTCATTTTAAAATTTGAACTCAAATTTTTAACTCCTGGGCTGTATAATTTTTAAGGGCATTTTTCATCCCAGTTTGAAGTTCGGGGTTGTTTCCTGAGTATGCAAACTCACCACCCTTGATGACATTGTGTGTTAATGGAGTTGGTTCAACTTTTCCATACATGCTGATCAAATGCTTTTATCAGTTTTACATTCAATTTGGGCAGGAGACAAAAAACAAACTGCATAAGCACTTGTGTTCTATTGGCCCCACCTTTCTAAAAGCAATTTATTTTTTCTTCTGGGCCTTAGGATTGCATCATCTACATACTATACATGTATACATTCAGTCTAGAATCATAGTCAATCCTTTAAAATATAAGTGTACCTATAAGTCATTAAGAAGAATACTGTACCATATAATTAAAAGGTGAAAAACAAAAAAGGTTTAGGGTTTGTGATCGGATACTTTATAAGGATAAAGCAGCTCAGACAAGTGATGCTCTTATGGCTATCAAACTATAAACTAGCCATACAGTGTCTTTACTTATGCTAACCCCAGGATATCTCTCTGGTTAGGACAATACCAGAAGCTTAGCATCGTTTAGGGTTACCAAAATTATGTTTTACAAACCCAGCCTGGGCTAAACATACAAGATATTGTGGACATAAGTGTGTATTTTTTTAAAATTAAATTTCTTTATCTATGGTAAGTAATTTTGAGTTAACCATAAAATGTAAATAGTTAATTATAATCAAGGTGAATAGTCAATAATAATAGTTGAAGAGAGCAATGTTCTTGAAACAGAATCCTATATATTATACTATTGGTCCAACATAGTATTTCTTTTTCTTTTTTTCCCTACCCTGGTATTGGGGATTGAAACACAGTGCTTCATCCTAGCCCTTGTTATTATTATTATTTTTTTAAAATTTTGAGACAGGGTCTGCCTAAACTGCTGAGGCTGCCTCAGCCTCCTGAGTAGCTGTGATTACAGGTGTGTGCCTGGCTCTAACACAGCATTTTTTACTTTTTTTCGGTCAATTGGTGATGTATTCATTCAGCAAAGTTTATTAGAGTGCCAGGCATTATTCTAGTCATAATTTTTTGTTCTATTTACGTTATTACTTTGGAGAATTCTTGCATTAAGAACTTGTTTTTTTAAAAGAAGTGATTTCTGGGGTGACTAAATTAATTCTTTATTTATTAATTTAATATTGATGTCATTTAAGGTCTCGTTCAACCCTTGGACACTCCAGATCTCATTGGAGCCAAGGTTCAAGTTCTCATACAGGTCGACCACAGGAGGCACGGAACCGAAGTAGGATTTCTACTGTTATACAGCCCTTGAGGCAGAATGCTGCAGAAGTTGTGGACCTTACTGTTGATGAAGATGGTAAGTTGGAATAGTAACTGTAGAATTATGAATTGTTTTTGAGTGGGAATATTGGGCACTGAACTGAGGGGCTTTCCTCCTGAGCTATGCCCCAGCTCTTTACTTTTAATTTTGAAATAGAGTTTTTCTAAGTTATTGCTTAGGCAGGCCTTGCTGAGTTGCTGAAGCTGGCCTTGAATTTATGATCCTCCTGCCTTAGCCTCCCAAATTGATGGGATTACCACCATGCCTGGCAAAATGAAATATCTTAATTTTTTAGCTTTATCACTGAGACACATCCCAACAACACCCCCACTTCTTTTTAAATACCTTTTTTTTTTTATTTTTAATGTGGTGCCAGGGATTGAACCCACTGCCTCACACATGCTAGGCAAGCACTCTATCACAGAGCCACAATCCCAGCCCTATATATTTTATATATAGATATTTTTTATATCTTTTTTTTTTTTATTTTTAATGTGGTGCCAGGGATTGAACCCACTGCCTCACACATGCTAGGCAAGCACTCTATCATTGAGCCACAACCCTGGCCCATCCCCAGGCCTTTTTAATTTTTTATTTTCAGACAGGGTCTTGCTAAGTTGCTCAGGTCCTCACTAAGTTACTAAGGCTGGCTTTGAACTTGCCATCCTCCTGCCTTGGCCTTTCAAGATGCTAGGATTATAAGTTCATGCCACTGTGTCTGGCTCAAAATGAAATAAGCAACCATTTTATATTTATGTTTGAAATTTAACTCATTTGTATTTTTAAGTTTTATTAAAAAGTCTTAATGAATATTAATATTAGTAAAGATTTTAATTTACCTTTTATCTGTGTGTTTTTTTACATTTATAAAAACTTGAAAATATATAAACAGGCATGGAAAGTAAGATTAAAATAGATATTAAAACCCATAGCTAACGTTTATCAAGGGATTATGTATGTTAAAGCATTATATGAAGGGTATTATATGTGTGATCTCAGGTCATCCTAACATTTCTAAAAGGAAGAAAATTCTATTACTTTTCTAGTTTTACAGATGAGGAAGTGGAGACTAGTAAAAATAAATTATCTACAGTCATACTATGGTGGTGAAGTCAGAATTGCTGTCCAAACTGTCTGACCTTGGAATTTACTGTGCCAGGGGAAGTGCAATTTGTGTTTTGACAGCCTATAACCAATTGTACAGGCATGGCAGAAGAACTCTTGTTTTTCATTTACTCTTTTCTTGTTTGTGACAAATGAGAGAACTTAGTAGTTATCTAAAAACCTTTTCGATAATCTAAATGCATGTGTGTTACAGTTTTTAAATGCAATAATATTTTACTCAGTTTGATCTTGTGGTTTAGCTTTATGAATTTTTAAAAATATTTTTTAGTTGTCAATAGACTTTTATTTTATTTATTTTTATGTGGTGCTGGGAATCGAACCCAGTGCCTTGCACATGCTAGTCTATCACTGAGCCACCACCTCAGCCCCTATGAATGTTTTCTTTATGAAAGCTTTTTCTACATAAAATGTTTTTTTAAAAAATATATTCCAAGAGAGTTTATGTTTTTAATCTGTTTTACTTTAGTAATTAACAAAAAGATGTTAGCATGGATTAAAATATAACCATTACTAATCTGTTGCAAAATGTTAAGTAGACAAAAAATTTTATTTTATAGAACCTACTGTAGTACCAACCACTTCTGCAAGAATGGAGTCACAAACTACTAGTGCTTCCATTAACAATTCAAATCCATCTACCTCTGAGCAGGCCTCTGATACTACATCAGCTGTCACCAGTAGTCAGCCTTCCACAGTATCAGAGACTTCAACTACTCTTACAAGCAATAGTGCAACTGGTACTTCTATAGTAGGTATGTAAAAAAAAGTGTGTGGTGGCATGGTGGGGGAGGACTTTTGTCGTTTTGTTTTTGTTAGGGAAAACATTGTTTTAAATTTAAGTTTTTAGCTATATTAGCAAGTACATGTTATATATCCTTTTCTTTTAGTACTGGGATTTCAACCTAGGAGCACTTTCTCACTGAGCTACATCTTTAGCATATTCTTGTATTTTAATAAACTTCCATATGTGAGCAAAATAGTATTTATTAGATTAGACTATGATTTCATATTTGAATTTGTGTACTGTATGTGACCAAAGTATTATAGCATAACTAAATGAGCTTAGGGAAAAGTAAATGACTGACACCCAAACATATGAATGAGCAACAAAAGAAAACTAGGTAAATTGAACTTCATCAGAATTTAAAAATTTTGATCCATCAAAGGACTATCAAGTTTGTGAAAAACATTGTATTGAATGCAAGAAAAATACTTGCAAATCATATCTGAATAAGGGTTCTAATATCGAGAATATGTAAAGAACTGTGAAAATTAAACAAAAACTATCTAGTTTAAAAATGGGCAAAAGACTCGGAGTAGATATTTTTTCCAAAGAATCACACGTAAAAGTGTTTAGCATCGCTAGTTATTAGTGAAATACAAATCAAAACCATAGTGAGATATCACTTAACACCTACTAGGGTGACTGTAATGTAAAAACTAGAATAACCAGAGCTGGTATGATGCAGAGAAATTGGAACCCTTGCAAAATGCGTCTAAAGAATACAAATGGCATAGCCGCTGAGGAAAACACTTGGGCAGTTCCTCAAAAAGTTTAACATAGCAGACAGGCATGGTGGTGCAAGCCTGTAAAACCAGCGTCAGCAAAATAGCGAGACCCTGTCTCAAAATAAAAAAACAGACTGGTGATGTCTCTAGTAGTTAAGAAACCCTGGGTTCAATCCCTGGTAACAAAACACAACAAAACAAAACAAAAAGTAAACAAAAACAGAAACAACATAGCCTGGTGCAATGGTTCATGTTTGTAATGCTACTTGCTTGTAATTCCAACTATAAAGAAGGCTGAAGCAGGAAGATCACAGGTTGGAGGTCAGCTCAGGCAACTGAGTGAGACCCTCTCTCCATAGATAGGTAGACTATCTATGCAGATATAGCTCAAGAATATAGAGCACCCCTGGTTCAACCCCCAGAAACAAATAGAGATAACATATGACTCATCAATTTCACTCCAAGATATACACTCAAAATAATTGAAAATGAGGGTGGAAGTTTTAGTATTTTGATGATGCCCATTTTCTCTCTGTTGTTGTTTTGGCATTGTATCTAAGAATCTGTTATCTAAGTAGAATGAATTGGACATAGCTTTCCTGTGTTCACGTATGAATACACAACCAGTGTAACTCCACATTGTGTACAACCACAAGAATGGAAAGTTATACTCCACGTATGTATGATATGTCAAAATACACTCAACTGTCAAGTATGTCTACAAAGAACAGATTAAAAAAAAAGTTCTTTGTTAAAAACAACAACAGAAAAAACTATGGCAATAAAGACTGGATTAGGGGTTATTTAGACAGAAATGTGGCTTGAGAGGAGAATGTGAGAAACTTTCCAGGTACTAAAAAAATTTATATTTTGATCTAAATATTTGTGTGCTTAATATTTGTGCCTACTGTGTATATATATATCCAAATGTATGCTTACCTGAACTTTATTTATTTATTTTTAGAAAGTTTTCTCATTTTTTTTTTAAATATCTTTTTTAGTTGTCAATGGACCTTTAGTTTTATTTATATGAGGTGCTGAGAATTGAACTCAGGGCCTCACACATGCTAGGGACGTGCTCTACCACTGAGCCACAACCCTAGCCCCCATATCTTAACTTTTTTTTTTTTTTTTAATATTTTTTTAGTTGTTGATGGGCCTTTATTTTATTTATATTTGGTGCTGATCACACATGCTAGGCAAACGTTCTACCACTGAGCTACAACCTCAGCCCCATACCTTAACTTAAAAAAAAATAAAAGACAACAACAACAAAAAACTTGATACAGCTGTAAATGCAATAAACAAATTAAATACAAATTAAAAAAAGAGAAATGATTGTCTAATCCAAGGTCACAAAGATTTATTCCTTTGTTTTTTTTTGCTGCTGGGTTTTGAACCCAGGGCCTTTTACATGCTAAGTATACACTCTTATTATTGAGAGCTATACTACCCCTGAAAAGTTTTATAATTTTATGTCTATTGCAAGTTATTTCTTGATTTTTACGTAGAGTTATATTTCTAGCCCTCTTTATCAGCTGTTTAACTGAAGTAACTCTCTCTTTTGGACAATAGTATAGAGATAGGAACTTGTTAGCTGCTTATTAAGAGAGACAACATAGGGCTGGGGTTGTGGCTTAGTGGTAGAGCACTTGCCTAGCATGCATGAGGCATTGAGTTTGATTCCCCAGCACCACTAAAAAAATCTAAATAAGCAAAATAAAGTTATTGTGTCCATTTACATATATATATGTATATGTATATATATAAAAGAGGGTCAACATAGACCCTGTAGCAATTCAGATTGACTGAATCACCATTGTTGATGAAACTACCTTATGATTTATGATTTCTCTTCTTTTAATAATATCTCATTTAATTTTATGCTATTCTTGTAACTTGCATTCAGTAAGTTGGAAAATTACTTGTGGCTGGATTAGGGAAGTACTCCTTTCTCTGAAAAACTAATAGCAGAATTTAGATTTCCTAGGGATATCTTTTAAATACTATACTCTGTAAAGAAAAATGTAGGCAGAAATGAAAATGGGCTTTTATTTCTTTTATTGAGTATATATTCTTTCTCTCAGTACTTCAATGTTATTTTACATGTTATCACTTAATCCTTTAAAATTTCTTGATATTGGCATTTCTCTTCTCATTTTACAAATGAAGAAATCTAGAAATTTGAATACCTTGATGGAGGACAGTAATCTCCTAGACAAGGATTTGAACTTTTCTCATGCATTCTGTCTCCTGGTAGTTTTATGTAACTTTATTCTTATCTACTTTTTATGTCACATAGACCCAACTTTATTTCAAAATAGTCCCAAAGTTTTCATTTACATATGTCTTAATTTGTTTCAAGATCTCTGTTTACTTACAACTCACATTTAATTTTTTAGGTAATAATTTTTCTACCTAAGTTCTAAATAAATGACTTTTTTTTTTTGAAAAAAAATTTTTAAATTGGATTTTTTTTTTAAGTTGTTGATGTTTGTTTATATGTGGTGCTAAGAATTGAACCCAGTGCCTCACACATGCTAGACAAGTGCTCTGCCACTGAGCCAGAACTACAGACCTGGAATGACCCTTTCTTGATATTGCTCCATGCTGATGACTGTCTTTGAGATAGACTTGTTCATGTTGTATTTTTACATCAGGACAGCATTGTCCCAAGCCAGATTGGTAGGCTGCATAAACCTGGTACAAGTCAATATAAGTTGTCAGACTACATTAAATGTACTCAATACAGCTTTCTTCGTTTCCTTCCAATACCATATGCATCAGTTTAACTATTTTCTCCTAAAACTTGCCCTCTCCCACTTTTTACATATTTTCAACTTTGAATCACTTATGCCATTTAGTTTTGCCATATCTAAAGTCTTAAATGATTCCCATAAAAACGTCCAAGCAGAGAGGTGCCTCTATCAATTTATAGTATCTAGTCTTGGACTTTCAGTGGTAAATATTTCTTGATCAGTTCCCTTTCCTTCCCCTGAGTGGCTTTTCCAAAACTTTCTTCTTTTTCTCAAGGCTTTCATCCTCCAGGAAGAAAGAAATAAAAAATGAAGGTTATCAAATATGAACTATGCAACTTCCAATTCCTCCATAATAACTTTTGTATATCTATACCTATTCTTTCCTAACTCCTGGTCTACTAACTTCTTTCTTGGTCCTTCTTTAAGCTGTGCTCTATCTCTTAGCCCTTCTCTTGTCATTGCTTTAACAATTATATTCTCTTTGTCTTTAGCATCTTCACTGATTCCGTTTTTATTGCATGTAAAGGTATACTTGTATTATGTCTGCGTACATTTAAAGTGGATTTTCTTTACCAAAACTCTTTGCTTTGTGTTTCTGACTCCTTTCTGAATGAACAAACATGGTCTTTAAATTCTGGTAATAATCTCTGTTTCATATTCATTTTCTTCTCAGTTATGTTCTCATCCCTTTTTTTCATTGGCCCATCTCATAACTGCAGGTGATTTTACAAACTATCACCATCATGCTGATGTGATGATCCTCCATTTGTCACTGTGTTTTAAATTTTCATATCTAACTACCTCTTGAATATCACCTTGGACCATAGTGCACTCATCTCAGACTCATCCGGCTCAAAACTGCTCATTTTCTGACCTCTGCATGTACTTTTTGAATTATGCATGTGTAGGTTTATTTTCATTTGTATAACAAATATTTATATATTATGTTGTCAGACATTGCTCTAAGCATTGGGAATAAAGCATAAATTTTTGTCTTTTAGAGCTTATATTCTAGTGAATGATATTTTTTGCATCATTCCTCTATGCTATGCTAGAACCCAGTACATCTTTTTTTTTTTTAAAAAGGATGTGATGAATTTTTTTTTTTAAAGAGAGAGTGAGAGAGGAGAGAGAGAGTGAGAGAGAGAGAATTTTTAACATTTATTTTTCAGTTCTCGGCGGACACAACATCTTTGTTGGTATGTGGTGCTGAGGATCGAACCTGGGCGGCACGCATGCCAGGCGAGCACGCTACCGCTTGAGCCACATCCCCAGCCCCCCAGTACATCTTTGCAACTGATTGATTTGTATTTTAAGTTTTTTCCATGGTTGATAATGAGCTCCTTACAGGCCAAAGAGCAAGTCTTTTTCTCCTTGCCAAAGTTGAATCCTAGGAGGCAGAGCTTTTAAGCCCAGTCTTCATTTTGAAGCCATACTGTTAATCATTTTACCCCTTAAATACATGTTTAGCCTCAGAATTAGTATCCAAGTCCACTTGACTCCATGCAATTACCTCCACCATTTGACACTAGTTTTCTAGATTATTGTAAGACACACACTAATATCATTTTTTTTATACTGTTAGTCTTCTGTTGGTTCTAACTTTATAGGCCAAAAGGAAAGGAAAGAATGTTGGCAGTTAATAAGACTCAGCCAGATTTTGGGTTCTGGTTTACTGTCTGGAGACATTTTAAGTACATAGCAGTATGTATTACGTGAGAATGATGTGGTTTTAGGTATTCCTGGGATTCAGAAGATTCTTTGCTTTGTAGCATTTAATGGAAGAATTCACATGATATTTTGGAATTTTTACAATGCAATTTTATTGGTAACTAATAATTCACTATGACCTAGAAAAAATGATATATTGCCAGATTTATACATCATGGTAAATTGTAAATATGAATCTTCTCAAGAATTTATAGACATTTAGGAAAATCTCAGTGAATCCCATTGCTCAAAATTATATCAAGTATATATTAAGAATGTGACACAATAGCATTCTTATTTATAAAGATTTAATTTACCAAATATTTGTTAATTATGTATATACATAGTACTTATTTTTACACAGTGATATTTAGTGATTCAATTATTCTTTGCATTTTCTGTTTCAAGATGACTCGAGGAGAACTACATCTAGTGCTGTAACAGAAACTGGCCCTCCTGCAATGCCAAGGTTACCTTCCTGCTGTCCTCAGCATTCACCATGTGGAGGGTCATCACAGAATCACCACGCATTAGGGCATCCGCACACAAGTTGTTTTCAGCAGCATGGTCATCATTTTCAGCATCATCACCACCACCACCACACTCCCCATCCTGCTGTCCCAGTTTCTCCTTCTTTTAGTGATCCTACTTGCCCTGTGGAAAGACCTCCACAAGTACAAGCACCCTGTGGAGCAAATAGTTCTGGTACCAGCTACCACGACCAGGTATGGAATCTGATGAATTAATCTTTCTTTCCCGTCCCTCCTTTCTTCTCTTTTATATAGCATGATGCCTTCAACAGGAGGTAGAAAAATCCCCTAATGATAACTTTTGCATGCAGAAATGGCCTAATTTAGTGGTCTGTGAAATACTTTAAAGTTTAATTTTTTTAATGTGATCTAAATTGTTGAACATAATTGAGGGGAATAAGAAAATGGAAAATTAGAAGTGATAATGTAAAAATCACTTTTTAAATTGTGAAATATTTAAAAAATATTTTTTTAGTTGCCAATGCACCTTTATTTGTATTTATTTATTTATTTATATGTGGTGCTGAGAATTGAACCCAGTGCCTCACATGTGCTAGGCAAGCACTGTACCACTCACCTACAACCCCAGCCTGCCTGAAATGATTTTTGATATTTTTAGAGTATAGGTAAAACATCTTTGGCATTTTATTTCAAATAAAGTGTTGAGATATAATGTCCCTAATTAATGAGAAATTGGAAAAGTCTTAAGGTTTTTTTTTTTTGTACCTCCTATTCTAGAGCTCACTATAACTTCCAAGCAACTAGAAATAAACAACTTTCTCAAGTGCAAACATGTAGCAAAGTTTCTCAGAAGCAGATGAGGTTCTTAGTTTTAGAGAACTAAAATATGTCCCTAACAAAAAATTATAATTAAGTCAATTGGTTGATATTATTAGTTGAGTGCTTAAAACGTCAAATGATATTAAATTAGTATTGTTGGTCACATGAGTAAATGAAGCCAGGTATTATATTGCTACTTTAGCTTTTGCTGGGTTATTTCTGTAAATGTTTTATAAATTGTGGGTATTATATGCTGTGAAAAAACAAAAGATGTAATTTTAGGGAATAGTTGTAACTTCGACATGTAATATGGTGGGAAAAAAGTCAAAAAGAAAATTCAGAGCAATTGCTTTTCTGTATACTGACCTTTCTTACCATACCTGATCCATCTCTTTAAATTTTGATGGCTGTCTGTTTTGGGTCTGACCAATTAAAAATAATTAAGAAGGAGGTTTTTCCCTTAAATGAAGCTACCTTCAGTTATGAGGAGGAAATTTGGAAGTGTTTAGCAGAAAATATGATTGAGATGTTAAATTTTTTTTTTTTTAAGAGAGAGCAGGAAAGAGAGGGGAGAGAGAGAGAGAGAATTTTTCAATATTTATTTTTCAGTCTTCGGTGGACACAACATCTCCATTTTTATTTTATGTGGTGCTGAGGATCGAACTCATCACCCCGAGTATGCCAGGCAAGCGTGTTACCGCTTGAGCCACATCCCCAGCCCCTATGTTAGATGTTTTTGGTTGTGGTTACAGTTTAAGTATTAACTAATAATCTGGACTGTTCCATTCTTGGATATGTGACTGGTAGCATCAGGAATGACTTCAGTGAACTGAATGAAGGGGTCTGTTGAAAAGTAAAGCTTACTTTTACTAGAAAATTTGGGTTCAAAGAATGTTTTATAAGAATTGCAGAAAAATTATTCAAACATACTAGTTTAGTTTCTCCTGCATTTGTTAAAGAACTGTTAAAAGATGAGTCTGTCACTCACAGAATTTTCTGTTGTTCAATTAATAAATAATAGAGTTGGTTTGAGAGATCCGTTGCATACAAAATGTTTTCTTTCAGCATGAGATAATTATTATGGGTAGAATCTCTTTCAGTTCTGTTTAATAGATGTAACCTATCTGGCCATCTCTAAATAGGTTAGATGGACTGCAAATAAAGCTTGAGAAGAATTAGCAGGATCCCACTTATTCAGTGGATATAATGGGTATTATGGTAAACAGAGTGAGATTTTGAAGATAACCAGTTTGAAAGCTCAAAATATATGTAGGATAGCTTCTGAAATTAGCCATGTCCTCATGAGATATAACTTCATATAGTATCCAGTTGAAGTTTAGTTAAGAAATAGAAGAAACTAACAGGCAATCTGAGGACTTGTGATTGTGTAGATGTCTTATGACTGAGTGCCAGATTATGGTCAGGCAATGAAAATTTAGGCTGTGACTCTATTGAGAGAATTTACTATTCTCTTACATATGGCTTTCTCTTTTGAGCAATAATTGGTATGATACATCCTTTATAATCAGTGTAAAGTAATATTTCCCATCTCTGATCCCATCTTGTGTACCCTCTTTTTCTTTCTAGAATAAGAATTGTGAAGAAGAGGATTCTCACTATTGTTTTTTTCCTTCTTTTAGTCTTTTTAAAAAAATATTTATTTTTTTAGTTTTAGGTGGACACAATATCTTTATTTTTATGTGGTGTTAAGGATCGAACCCAGCGCTCCACGCATGCCAGACGAGTGCACTACCGCTTGAACCACATCCCCAGCCCCCTTCTTTTAGATTTTACTTTTAACATTACCCTCAGTTCCCTTGGAGCACGACCTTCACCCCACTTTATTTTTGAGGGATTATCTTAATGTTTGAACAGAGATTAAGACAAGCTCTTGGTGACAAAATATTCGTCACTTTCTTAGGATGATAATATTCCATTTCATTTGCCAATTTTAATCTAAGTAGTAGGGCAGTAGGTAAAAGATGTAAGTCATAAACAAATTCACTGTCACACAATATTATTCTTAAAACCTATTTACCTGAATTGAGGACATAAATTGCATTTGCCAACTCATTGGTAAATACAGTGAGTCAGACATTTACTTAATAGACTGTGTGCACATAATATGGAGGAGAGAGTCTTTTCCTTTTCTCCTTCATACAGCTTCTGCTTGCACCTTCTTCACTCCCCCTTCCGTTTTAGCATTTTTTGTTTTTGTTGTCTGTGATTCTGGAGCCCTTTTAAAGTGAAAAGACCTTTATCATTCCTCTGAGGACTGTTGGGTGACCTCTGACAGATCATTACCCTAGCTTTTATCTCTATTACCTCAGCTTCCAGTATTGAACAGTTCATATATAATTCATATGTAACATTGAATCTTTATTTATTTATTTTAATATTGTTTTTAGTTCTAGATGGACACAATACCTTTATTTTATTTATTTATTTTTATGTAGTGCTGAGGATGGAACCCAGTGCCTCACACATGCACTCTACCACTGAGCCACAAATCCGGTCCTGAATCTTTTGATCACATTTTGAAAACCACAGCAGTATTAAACCTAAGAGTAGGCATATATTTAAAAATACAAAGAAACAATTTTTTTTATAATCTTCTTTAGATTAAGGTTAAAAGTGTAATAATTAGGATTAAAAATTTTAATGCATACATATTTGTACATATTTATGGCATGTACTACAATAATTTTGATAAATGTATTCAGTGTGAAAAGATCAAATCAAGATAATAAGCATTTCTATTTCCTGAAACATTCATTTGTACTCATTGGGAATCTATAGATTCTTCTACTTTCTATTTTGAAGTATAACTTAGATTGTTATAGACTAGAATTATTTGTGTATTTCCAAGTGCTTTTTGGGGAAAAAACTTATAGTGATTAATGAAGATGGGTTCTGTACTCTAGTTAATTTTCCAATTTAGTAATCAAGACTTTTCCACAAAATTATACTCCTGATAAAAAGAAGCATTGGTTTAATTTTAATTTAATTAATTAATTAATTGTTATTTTTTTGTGGTATTGGGGATGAAACCCAGGGGAGCTACATCCCCAGCCCTTTTTATTTTGAGAGGAGTGCTAAATTGCCCAGGCTGGTTTTGAACCTGTGATCCTCCTGCCTCAGCCTCCCAAGTAGCTGGGATTACAGGTGTGCACCATCACACCTAGCTAATTTATAATTGTTTGTCAAGTGAGGCAAAGCTAATTCATGATTTAGCCTGGATAATCTTATGCCCTTTGTTTCTTTGGGATAATGTAGATTTGTTTGTACTATTAATAGTTTCAGTTGAATAAGCTTGCTATCAGACAGTTTATAAACTTGGGACATAAGAATTTTTAATCTAGTACCTTAATGTTTTTAATGAAAGGATATGTTTTCTAAAGATATATTTTCTAAATTACTGGTCAGAATGTGAAGGTAAAGGAGAATATATAAATAAGATTTTTAAAGTTTCTCTTTTTCTAAGATGTGGATAATGTAAGAGAAATAGATCTTAAAATAATATACTAAACTTTTGTTCATCTTGTGGTAATTTTATGCTTGATTTTTAAAACTTGATTTTAGATTTTGGGTATAAACCCACTATTTGCACAGTCCGAGTTGTGCTGTATTTTTCTTGGTGTTCAGTAGGTCCTTACACTTAGAATTACCATTTTCAAATAAATTCTAAGATTTTATTTTTCTAGGTTGTTTTAGGAGTACTTTTAAATTATAACATGAAATAATGTTTTGACAAAACTTTAGAAAGATAAAATGTAGTTCCTCTTTATATAGCAGGCATTGCCAGTAGACCTGAGCAACAGTGGTATCAGAAGTCATGGAAGTGGTGGTTTTCACGGAGCATCTGCATTTGACCCCTGCTGCCCTGTTTCTTCTTCCCGAGCTGCAATCTTTGGCCATCAGGCTGCTGCTGCTGCCCCAAGTCAGCCATTATCAATAGATGGTTATGGATCAAGCATGGTTGCACAGCCCCAGCCCCAGCCCCCTCCACAACCCTCTCTCTCATCATGTCGACATTATATGCCACCTCCTTGTAAGTATAAATTTAGTGGGCAAAGAACCTAGAGGCATATAAAGGAAGCATTGTACATTCCTCTGTGAAATAATCTTTCATCTTTCATAAATCCTAATTTATAATTTTAAATATTTATTTGACTTAATAGTGGGGTGTTATTTTTCCCATTTTAATAATTCTGAAACTGAAGGTACATTGAATGATAACCTTAGATTCTTATAAAGGAAGTTTTAATGAATTTAGATTTATTCTATAGGAGCAACTGAAGAAATGTAAAAGTTAGGTAGTATTTCTAGGCACTATAAAGTACAAAAAAAATTCTCAATGGTTAACTAAGACATATGAGAGAATTCCTTGACAGAGTGCTTTGCCATTTGGGAAAAGGTTTTTTGAAAAAAAAAAATTGTAGTTGTAGATGGACAATATGCCTTTATTTTATTTGTTTATTTTTCTGTTCGAACCCAGTGCCTCACACATACTAGGCAAGCACTCGGCCACTGAGCTATAGTCCCCAGCCCCTGCCCCTGAGAAAGGGTTGTTTGGTGGAGGCAATTAAAACAGAACTGGGCACAGCTTTTCTATAGAAATTGAAGTCTATTATATCTTAAGAAATTATAAATAACCATAGGCTATTTAATATTTTGTTATATCATAGGCTAAATAGTCAAATGTAAGCTTAATAAATACTTTGATAAATGAACCAAGAAGTAGACAAGAAAATTTGTCTTTTGTTCTAATTATATTGCCAGCGATAATTTTTCAATTATGTATATTTTTGAATTTCTTCTTCCACTCCAATAACTTTAAAGATCTGTAGACACAGCTGGAATCAGCCCAGAATTTATACAGTGAAACTGTTGATATATTTATTTACCTCTTCTTAAAATATAAAGTGTAAGTTGGAAAATAGGTTTAGAAACAGTGCCAAGCATTGACCAATGGGCATATTCTGTGTATGAACACTGGTGTGATAATACAGGTGCTGTTTTGTTATAATTATTCATCTTTAATTGGATGGATCCTCTTTTATTAAGAATGTTATATGTGATTTCCTTTTTCTCCCTCTAAAAAATGATAACACTGAAGCAATATATAAATACATTCCTTTTTAACTGTCTTCATAAAAAATATTTTAGACTTAAGCTTTTTTTTAACTTTTAAAGTAACTTGTATACATCCTAAAAAGTTCAAATATTGCAGAATGTTGTAAAATGACAAATGACCTTTCTCCCTACCTCACGAATTTTTGTTTTTTAGAGGTAGCAACCTTTATAGCTTACAAAAATTCCAGAAATTTTTCTTTGTAAATATGAATATACATGTCTCTTCTAACAAAAACCTCACAGAACCGTATCAAGCATATTATTCTGCTTTTTTTATTTTTAAATTTAATAGTATGTCTTGGATATATCCCATATTAGCACCTAAAAGTCAGGCTTAGCTGAGCATGGGTGGCACATGTTTATAATTCCAGCAGTTTGGGAGGCTGAGATAGGAGGATCACAAATTCGAGGCCAGCCTCAGCAGCTTAGCAACTAGGCCCTAAGCAATTTAGTGAGACCTAGTCTCAACAGTAAAAAAAATAAAAATGGCTGGGGATGTGACTCAGTGTTAAGTGCTCCTGAGTTCAATCCCCTGTACCCCTAGCCCCAAAATAATAATTGAACTCACTGGTATTCGTTCTTTTTTCATCCCCTTTCCCTTATTGTTTTTTTTTTTTAATATCCTCATAATATTTTACCATGTATTAAATCAGTCCTCTGTTAATGGATATTTAAATTGTTTGTAGTTGTTCGTCTATAGGATTAACTTCTAGGAATGAGATTGATGTGTCAAAGAAATACACTTTCAAATAAGTACTGTTAAATTTCTCTTCAAGGGGTTATACCAGTTTATAGTCCTCATTGGGGATCTGTGAATGAGGGTGAAGGTAGAAATTTGAATTGTATTCCCTTTTGTTAGGGACAATTGACTGATAACCCTCTAGAGTTCTTTTCCTAAGTTTATTTTTACATATACACATATATTCCTCTCCCCATATTTCCTTTCCTAAACTTTTCCAATATGCTTTAATTCTTGTGTGAAACAACATATTGTTCATTTAAATTAAACTGGGGTAGACAGGTTTTAGAGAACTAGCTTTAAAATTAAATAAATCTGAGCTGACCTTGCAGCTCCTCTGTTTCTTCACATTGATAAAATAGGAATCATTCTAATTGACTGTGACTTGTGAAGCTTTGACCCTAGTGAAAAGTTCTCTATTTCAGAAGTACATTTACATTCATACCAGTAGTACTAGTGTCATAAGAAAATGTTTTCTTGCTTTTGAAAAATGTATGATCTTGATGAAGTGATAAAGCTACTGTCCTTGAAATGGTATCTTTTAAAGTTTTGAATCTTATTAAGGTGAACTGAGAAGATATATTAATAAGACTACTTATTATTCATCATTAAGTGATTATTGTGTGCTGTAAAGTTGTAAGAATTTAGTGACTGTAATGTTGGAACAGATCATAATAATGCTTCTGCAAGTGATATGATGAACTTTTATGAACAATATCAAGACCATTTAAAAACTTTTATATGTAATTGACAATTGTATATTTTATTCAGTTTTTATTTTTATTATTTTTATTTTTATTTATTAAAGAGAGACAGAGAGAATTTTTTAATATTTATTTTTTAGTTTTCGGCAGACACAACATCTTTGTATGTGGTGCTGAGGATCGAACCTGGGCCGCATGCATGCCAGGCGAGCGCGCTACCGCTTGAGCCACATCCTCAGCCCTTATTCAGTTTTTAAAAAACTAGCAAGAGCCTTCACAAAATTGAAAGGGAAGAAAAGTGGTCAGTGAGAATACAGAATATGTCAATTCTCTACTGGTTAGCAGTCTGTTTTGTTTAAATGAAAAGTGAATTAAAATGTTGACTGGAGTTAAATAAATCTATTCAATCTGAATCAAAACTTTAAGTTTGTGCAATATTTATGAATATTGTGTCTTGTTTATTATGATTATAGAGATATAAAAGTTCATTTGAAGTTAAGTTGGAAAAAATGCTGTGAATTTAATAAAACAGTGACTTCTGTTTTTATGATCATAGTTATTGAGCATTGTGCCTTCCTCAAGAGAAAAGCATTGATTTGAAAACATAATTTTTAGAAAATTGGTTTAAAAACTAGCCTTACAAATTGGATTCAAATTAATGAAAGTTTTCTTTTATAATGCATGCTAACAAGGCTTCCTTTGAAAATATGGTTACCTAACTTTTGCCTCTGCTGAGTGAAATAGAAGCATTAAAAATTTAAGAAAACCCTTTTGTATAAAATTAGAAAATTGCCGTCCCTCTGTATCAGACTATCAAGAATGTTTCCCAGTGAGATCTAACAAACATTTTTTTTTAACATGTCACATAATTGGAGATCTCTTAAGTTAAAAGAGATGACTATTTCTCAGAAATCTTTTAATAGTCTCTGAAAATATAAAGATTTGGAATGAAGAAATGAGAGGAACTATCTATTTTTTAAAAGAAGTTTTTAATCAGTACAATATAGTTATACATAAAAGTGGAATTATTGTGATATATTTATATATGCACATCACATAGTTTGGTCAGTTTCATTCATATGTTTCTCCCCTTTCCTATTCCTCTCCTCCCCTATCAGTTTCCTTTATGTACTCCACTGTACTTCCTTCTATTTTTCATGAAACCTTCTTGTGCCTCCCTACCCCCATTTTTAAATTCTTTATTTCTCCCTAGCTTCTCCATATGAAAGAGAAAGAACATTCTGCTCTTAACTTTCTGAGTCTGGCTTATGTCACTCAGCATGATGTTCTTTAGTTCCATTTGTTTACCAGCAAGTGACATTTCATTCTTATGGCCAAGTAAAACTCCATTGTGTACATATATCACATTTTCTTAATCTGTTCATTTATTGAGGGATTCCTAGGCTGGTTCCATAAATTGGTCTTTGGGAATTGTACTGCTTCAAACATTGGTATGCATGTATCCCTATCATATGCTGATTTTAATTCTTTTGGAGAAATAATGAGGAGTGGGATAGCTGGGTCATATGGTGTGGGTACATACTACTTTCTAAAGTAGTTGTATTAATTTGTAGTCCCAGCCACAATGCATGAATTCAGCTTTTCCCCAACATCCTTAGGAACCATTGTATTTAAGATGTAACTTCCATAGCCGTTTCCTGGCAAATATGCCTCCTCCATCTTAATATAGAGCTCAGGAAAAATGACATGGAGTGGCATGGGACAGGGAAATATCGGAGTAGCAATTAAAGAATTCTTTTTATAGATATACCCAAGAGTTTTGGGGTTCTTCTCTGCATCATCCTATAACCAATAACTCATGTATTTTTATAAAATAACGATTGTTAAATTTTTTTTTTATTTGTGGATTTTATGGTTTCCTCCTTTCCTCCCTCCCTCTGCCTGCCTGCCTGCCTGCCTGCCTGCCTCCCTCCCTCCCTCCCTCCCTCTGTGTTTCTGTGTGT